AACAAAACTTCAAGAACACGGCCACACAGCCCGGAAGACCCACACTAGCCATCGTATGCCGCCCGTGAAAGCCTTCGACAATACATTGTCCACTAAATTGTAATTGTAAATAGAACTGAAGGGTGAAATTATTACATACATTAGGAGCACATCTTAATTACAGCATGTCTCCCAGCCTATGCCTTTTTTCAAAGATTTTCTTCACTGTGGTGGGAAATCAATCTAAATAACATGCAGTACATCAACTGTCCAGCTGTATGACATGGGTTGAGTTCTTCTGCCCTTCTTTCTTCACCTCTACCTCCACTTCCATCTCTAACTTGGTTCCACTACCTTAAGGCCAAACACTCACCAATGGCTGCTGTAGCCAGGCACTTAATGACAGCAATGGGAGGGTCACATCCTGGATAAAATGGAGCTGACACATACTCAGCAAAACTGAGGCAGATAATGGCGAAGGCGCTGGGCTTGATGACAATTAGACTAGACCAGGAAAACAAGTAGGCAGGTATTGGCCCAAAGGCTTCCATCAGATAAGGATATTCTGCTCCTGATTTGGTTATCATTGTGCCAAGTTCAGCAAAGCAAAGTGCCCCTGGAGGAAGAAGGAGTGGAGTTTTAGCATTAATACGGACTTGGGATGTTTTCTTTATTTATGGATTAAATTTATATAGCCACCCATGTATCCAAGGAACCCTGGGTGGTGTGACAAAGAGAAAGAAAGACTAATAAAGATAAAGGTTGAGCCAGCCCAGAGCATCCTTGCTCAGTGGTTCTGGAGTGGAGAAAATTTATTGTCCCAAATTATACTTCTGAGAATATTTTATTACCAATGACCCATGGAACTATTCAGTTTATGATGCTGCTAACAGAGGGCCGATTGGACTGTATCCGTGTCATCTTGGTTTCTATGAGTGCCCTGAGCTTGGATGGCATGGAGAGTCACAAGATGAAAAACAACCACCAATGTTTCTTCCTGAGCTTGGGATGGGGGTAGAGAACCACAAGAGAAAATATAACGATCGATATCTCTTAAGGAATGTTCTCATGTAGTGCTTTTATTACATGACGTGTAATAAAATGTTGCATCTCCAAGGTGCTAAGAATATCATATAGCACATAGTTCTATTCTTCCTGCTTTTTTGAGATATATTGGGCTCAGAGATCAAGACTAGCTCAATATGATCCAGACAGTTAATCAAGGGTGTTCACAGGGTGTGGTCAAAAAACTCAAGTTGGCTCCACAACAGGGCAAACAGCTCTACCCACACATGTGACATACATAATAAACAGGTGGAGATTCAATTGTACCATCATAGCCACTATTTTGAGGGGTTTTTTTAACCATACCCTTGAGAGCCTCATGATGAGCAGAATGTGAGCAAAAATCTCCCCATTCCTAATCTGCCACTGTAACCAGAAGTATACCACCAGAAGTAAACAGCACTCTCTTGATTGAGCAGTTGATGACTTGCAGCAGAGAAACAGACACCAAAAGAGAAATCAAATAGTTTGAAGGTTAGTGTGAGAAGCCATTTTTCTGTAACCCATCACCCATAAAGGTTGAGAGCGCAAATGTCAAATTCGTTATCCATCAAAACAGACCAGCAGAAGATAAGTTGTTAAAAAGAAGATTCGATTTGCTTTCTGTAAAAAAGAAATTGAGAGCACTAGAAATGGTTTACCTAACGTGGCCAACACCCCACTGGCTGCCCAGATAATCAAGCAAGGTCCAATTGCTCCAACATTGGCCAGAACAGTCTTGGGAGAAATAAAAATCCCTGAACCTATCACAGTTCCGACAATGACACAGATTCCACTGAACAGACCCACCTAAGGAGGAAAAAAAGGGAAGCAAGTAAATTCAGTATGGTTTTGTTATCCAAGCACTGTTCACATGATATAATCAAAAGCATACATACACGGGTAGTAAACCATTGGTAAGTTTGAAGAAAAGAGTTATAAATTATTTTTCTTAATGGTAACTCATGTCTCTGCAGAGCACCTCTGTAAATCTTACACACTTGCAACTTATTGTCAAGCGAAACAATGAAATACAAGAGATAGCAATAAGTGAGATGGTTTATTTATTTATTTATTTATTTACTTACTTACTTACTTACTTACTTATTTATTTATTTATTTATTTATTTATTTATTAGCAGTTCATGCTGCTGCTTTTTTTCTATCCTACGTTCCTACCACAAGGTACCCAAAGTAGCATTCTGGAAGTCAATTTGCTTTCAGAAGACAATTTATCACAAAGGTTCAGAATATAAGAAGTATCTTCTCAGTCTAGGAGGCTCATTTTGACTTCAGCCAATCACTGGGTATTCTGCATGGTAGGACATGGAGTATTTTGTACATATATTGTCACCAAACACACTAACCCATCTGCTAACTCAGTTGTGACTCCTTAGTGTTGGTCCTGACTACATATTATCTGAGTCTAAGTCCCCAATTTGGGGGATATAGATTTCCCAGCCATTTCCTCCAAGTCTGCTGGGTATCTCATGAGCTTTTATACTAGGGGAGGACTAGTGAGTTTTCCTAAGATCAGTGACTCCTTCTCACTGGCCAGCCAGGAACAGTGGGTGTGGCTTGGGTGTAGCATCCAATCAGTGTTTGAGAGGCAGGTTCTGCACTGTAATGTTTCAGGAGTGATTTCTGTAATAGAGAGCTTTGTTCTTTTCAGACACTCTACATCTTGCTCTGCTTTTTGGAGGACTGACTGATGAAGCTTGGCCACAGTTGGAAGAGGCCCTTGAGATCAGAGTCCAACCTCCTGCTCAGTGCACAACTCTGAATTAAAGCTTCCCACACACTGAGCACTGATTGAGTTATATTGCTGCTGTACCTAGGGGTGGTCTGGAAACATTTCATTAGGTTGTTTGGAAAGAAAACGCTGGGCTATTAGATATATCCTTGGTCTAATCCAATAGGACTCTTCATCTACTTTGAACTAAATGGCTCCAAAACAGCTTTTCTACTCTGTTTTGTTCTAGATGGGTCGGCATATCTGGATGGGTTCCCAGTCATCAGAAACAGTAGTGAGAATTCTGAGGGAGTCTTCTCCAAAAGTTCCTAAGAATTTTAGCCTTCTGGTTTGAGCAAGATTCTCTAACTGTGGAAGGAAGGAAGGAAGGAAGGAAGGAAGGAAGGAAGGAAGGAAGGAAGGAAGGAGAGCAGATTCACTCCATATTTCCAGGATCAAAGATATGGTTAGCTAATTTGCATTCAACCAAATTTGTTTCTGCTGCTGAAGTAGATCATTTCTTTCCTATCTTTCCTAGGACAAACTATTCATGTGAAACATATTGTTTCAGGTCTTGGCAAAACCAAGCCACTTTCTTATGTGCATAAGGAATGTACAGTAATAAATGTGCTATACTTCAACCAACTCTTTCTTATAATGAAATCCACCAACTAGGTGTACAGTGAACACACTTGCATACATCAGATTCCTGTCCCTTTCAACAATACAGATAACAGCTTGGGCTACAATGCAAACATTAACCCAGCATTCCAGGGAACAGATTATTTTTAAAAAAGCTTCTTGTGAACTTCGTTAATCTATTACGGCAACATTCAGCAACCACTGTTCTACTAATTAACGTGTTAACATGAGAGAAGGAGAGTGCTCTGCTAGCTCATTGGGTACATTAGAAATGGAATGTTCACCTAGTGGGTGATTTCTAGTTTCAGATATGATGTGAATCAAATGCAGGCATTACAGGCGGGGAGTAAGAAGATGCTGTTGTGGATGTCATCCCAATGAGGCTAAGCAGAAGTGGAAGAGGGTTCCTCCTTATCACCCTTTGGAATGTATCTAGTTGACCCAGCAGCTGAGACTACGATGGCCCTGTGGTGTAACTCGGCAGGACTCTTATGATCTCATGGCTTCCTGCTAGTTACAATTGATGCTCTTTGCTTGCCTTCTCTTTCTGTACCAGCCCAAAGGCCCAGAGGACAAGGCATGGAGAAGACATCTTGTGCTTCAGCTTTCCATACTTGGAGAAAGAGCAGATTAGGCAGTAGCAGAAGGAGGAGTTAAGAAATTCTATGGATCACCAATGAACGCTTGCAAGAAGAGGGACCTTAGCAGCTATGCAGAAGGAGTCTGGAGCACCTTTTCCGACTAACAAATTTTATTAAAAGGCAGAAGCTTTCATGAGCATGAAAGCGTCTGCC